GTTTTTATTTTTTCTTTTAATTTTTATAATACCACCATCACGGGATTTTTATTTGCGTTCATGTATAAGGCTAAAAAAATATGATAATAAAAATCCTTTACTCCTGGTGCCTGGGATTAAACTATTATTTTATGCTTTTTTCTTCTACACACAATTTTTATTATTATACTCCCTTACATTTCTATAAGTATATAATCTTAATATAGGTACATTATAGGAGTTTATGATTACACATTATATGTATACACACGTATTTATGTATTTAAAAATTTATAACATAAAATATTATTTTAATATCCTAGTAGAATATAATAGAGCTAATGGTTTGGGATCTGCCGTTTTATTTTTTAATTTTTATATTTCCTTTATTTTAAGATTACTAATAAAAGAATATATCATGTATGTATCTGTGCACTTATATGTGACTGTAAATGTATTTATTTATATCAATTTTAGTACTAGTTATGTTTCAAGTCTTTTGGCAATAAGATATGTGGCAAATAAGTATGTAATGTACATAAAAAATTTACAAACGTACAAATTTTATTTTGCAGACTATTACTATAATTATAAGCATGCAAAGTTTAACTTAAAAAATTTACAGAATATTATAACACCAAAAATGCTTCAGTGTTTCTGTAATTTTATTAAATATGGTAGAAAAATTACCTACATTCATCTTTATTGCTACTTTAATTTTTTTATCTGCATTTGAACTTACTAATTGCCATTTAACATATTTATTCTACCTCATTTATAGTAAAACAAAAATATGAAAAATTAAACAATCTTAGCAAAAAAGTTCAAGAGCAATTTTAGCAGATCAATACCAAATTTAATTACAGCCAAAAATTTAAAATACAGTTATTATTTCTCAAAATTTAAATGCGCTGAATATTTCAAAATTGATTATTTGAACATGTACAATATATTCAAATACAATCACGCAGTAAACCGCCCAACTAAATACAAACTTGAACAAGCAAAGAACCTAAGAACAATAAAGAGTTCAATATATGGAGGAAAATAACAGCATATCTAATATACTTTGATAAACATACAGATTTGTTTAATTTTTAAACAATAGAAAATGTTAAAAGTAAAACAACATTATAATAAAGTTAGGTCAAACCAATGGTTTGTTGTGGGAGTTTTCCCTTCAACAAAAGAAAATACTGTTTTTAAATACAGTTTATGTATACCTACCATACTATCAAAATTATTTTCATTCATATACGAAACTATTTCTAGGATTGCATATATTTGGGATGAACGATTTATGCAGTCTTTAAAATAAAGCAAAAATTAATTTAAAGAGGGTTAACATAATACTCGATTTTAAGGGTTAGTTGTGTGAGTTAAGAAAAATAATTATATTTTTTAATGTAATCACGGAATTTACCGTATTTTTTGCGTTTATAGAAATTTGAAAAAGCTTGCGGTTTCACAATTTAAGGTTTCAAGGGGGTATAACTTTTAAAGGGGGAGGAATAGGTAAAAATTTTGTTCTGTAGAAATAAGTTTTTAGTAAAGATCTATATAAAATTTCAGCTATCTATCTTCAAGGGTGTAGAAGTTTTGTAAACATGTCCACGAACTGAAGAACCATAACTTGAAGACAACCATAACATTTACATTATTTAAATTAATTTCATTAAAATACCAATATATTGAAATTTATTGACAAAATACATCTAGGATGACAAAAAAAATTAAAAGAAGTGTTAACATAATGGTTGAATATAATTATCATGACATCGCATTTACCGTCGGTTTTTGCTTTTATGGTAATTTGGAAAAGCTTGCAGAGAGTGTTTCATATATCGAAAATTCGCAATTTTAATTTTTAAAATTCGATAACTTGTAAAAGGATGAAACTTGTAAGGAATGTTAGAGCTTTACAATTTACCATCTAAAGGAAAAATGAAATCAAAAATTTGAAAAATGTTGGTATCTTGTGCGAATTAATTTCAACGTTCACTTTATCATTGCAATGTTTAACCTTATGCAATGCCGAGTGAAACTAATAAGCACTTTTTTCCCAACTTTTTTTGGGAATAGCAATACATTATAATTCTGTTTTAATTTTTCTCATTATGGAAATTCTTTTAAACATACTTGGACTAAAAACATATGTTAAAATATATAGTTTTCTCTCTTTTATTTTGCTTAACTGTCGTGTACAAAACGTAAGGAAAATATGATCGTTTATCAAAGTAAGTTAAGCTTTAATATATTCAAACAGATTTCTTGAATACTTATAAAGTCAGTCTTGTTTTTAAATATATTTCACTATCGTTAAGATAATTACGATAATGGTAACAAAAAATGTTAACCACGATTAAGATTCATATTTTACTATTTTAACTATTAATTTACTTTAATACACAATGCTGTGCAAAATATTAGCAATAAATTTCGTAAAAATCTTTCTGATACTTGAAATTTAAGAAAAATTGCATGCAACTCTAACCAAATCCAGTTCAGTACTAAGGAAATGACAACAAAATGAATTCTTTTTCAATATTGGAAATATAGTGTGCAAATCATTGGAGACAAAACATTGTACTGTGAAAATTCTTCGAATTATTTGTGTTAATGAAATTTGTTAAATATTTTAAGGACCCTTCTAACTTATTCGATACTCTATACATCAAATAAGTATATAGAGTATTTTGAATTGCCCAATATTTATATGTCAAATTCTCAATACATCGTTTTATAGTTTAACATGAAAGTTTAGCTCCAAAGAAATTTATGTAGGCACGTTACTTGTCTTACTGTAAATGTAATAAGGTTTATAAATTTTATAAAAAAATTAAATTTCATCTTTGAATGACCAATAAAGCAAGTACTTATATAAAATTAAAGTCACTTCGAATATATTCTTATCTGCTTTCAGATATATAGCGCAAACGATTAAATTCGTATGATTCAATTGTGTTTTTAACTGAAATGGCATACTTACTTAGTTTTTTTTTTTAAAAGCGTAAACGCATATGCAATTGATAATTTCAAAGTAAATGAATTGACATTTATTTGATGACACTACTATAGATGCATGCTAATTTTATATGAAATAACTAATAGCAAAGAAAATTACAATAAAAAAAAGTGTCGCGTTTTGTAATAAGTCAGCCGATATTTTATAAGAAATATTTTAGAAAAATATTAGTGTTAACGCGACTAAACTACATATAATAAGAAAATACTGTCTAAAAATTTCATTATTAATATTTTACACTTTAAAATAAATTTTGTTGATAAAACAAAGATTAGTTTAACCAATATTGAATTTATTTTTTTAAATAAGCTAAAAACAGATAAGGGTTTATTCCAATTTCCAACGGACTGTAGCCAAAGGTTATCATTTACTGTTACTTATTTATTTTTATTTTTAGTTTATTACAGAAAATGTTTCACATATAAGTACTTAGGTTTTTTCATTTAGAAATTTTATACTGTACTTCTATGTGTGTATCAAAGTATAATACTTTAATATGAAAACAATTTCATTAGAACTTCCATATACATACTTTTTTAATAATTCATTAAAAAAATTTCAATTAAATAAAATATGACTATGAGTATGTACGTAAGTTAATAAAAATAGAACAATAATTACACAGATAAGAAGATTTTTTTTAGAGACTTGACGTTAAATTTTGATTCAAAGTTTTTGATTAAATAATATGCAAATGTATGTTTGTATATTTATTTGTAACATTTGACTTTCAAAACAATTTAAATTTCAACATGGGTACGTACTTTTTATGGAAATTGTTCTTATAAATTCTTATCAAAGTTTCGAGCGATGATGTATATTTCAAAAATAATATTTTGGTAGAGGATTTTGAATAAAGATTATATTCAGAATTTGAAATTATATAAAATTTTCCAACAACTAAATATACTTTGTATTAAAATTTGTTAAATTCTGAAAATTAAAAATTATTCTAATTACTTATATTTTTTTTTAAGCGAAATGACCTTTAAGATTATGTACTAAACCCCTTTTTTACTTTGAACAATAAATATTTGCGAAAAAATTGCTTTTCTAGAACAAAATATTTAAATATTCCCTCAATCTCCTCTATTCTAGTTTTATCTTTCCAAAATCAATAACTTTTCTGCAAAAGCAAAACGAATTCTAGTCTGTCTATATAAAAAAAATCTATAAACCAATGTCAGGGTGTCCGCTTATTTTCGGAGTAATTTCCTCCATGCTATAAGTATCTCTAGTCAGAAATCTTATCACTCACAATTGCACATAGATTAGTTTTTAACTAAAACGTAGAACTAAATTACTTTTTAACTACCCACTTTCTTGAATTCAAAAGGTTCGAAATGAAATTTTATAGTCCCAAATTTTCAACAATATAACTAAAGTGAACTTTAAGAAAGTACATAATGTAACAATAATTTTTCCGTTATCTAAAAGTGTTCTCTTTTTCTTTAGCTAAATTAATTAGTAATCAATTCAATATATTGTAAATATTTTGAATATTATTACTTTCTTTAAAAAATTCATTGATTTCCCCTAAATATATGCAAAAAATTGATTTGAAAAAAATCCAACCTTAAATCTTAGCAGCCTTCCCAAGGGGACACACGATAATTGCTCTAGCCCACCAAAGAATAAGTACTTATATTTTTCTTTTTTAAATTAAAAATAGTTTCAATCAAATAAAATTTTTACGAGCAGTTTACTATAAGTATTTGAAAACGGTTTCATTAAAATAAAAAAAATGTTATAATACTTATTGTACTCATTACTGAATATGAGCATTAATTCACGTATGAGGATCTATTCTATATGAACATCTTTAAATTTTCAACTTATTTTCATTATATTTGGCATTTTCTTAATAAAACAATAAAATAGAATTTTATAAATACAAATTATAACTATAATAAGTAATTATATTTAACCTATTTTAGTGTATATATACTTATACATAATGTACATATAATAAATAAATAACAATAATAACACTTACTTGTTTTGGAAGCACCTTTACGTCTAGCCATTTTTTTTAATTTTTCAAAACACTTTTGTTACTCCATCAAAAATCGAAAGAAAAATTCGCGTTATATTTTTTATCTTTATTTTTAAATATGTGAAAGAATTGAAAAAGAAATAAATTTTCGTTCCTTTTATTCAACAATAAAATAAAATAAAGAAAAAAACACAATGTTTTTTAACTACAATTTGTGTTTTTTATTTCAATATTACCTTAATTACATATAGGTAATTATATATGAAATATATTCAATTGTATGTATGCATGTATGTACATTTATTTTTTGTCCTTGTAAAGTTTGGCTAGGCGCTTTTTTCATTTAAAATTTTTTTCACTTTTCATTTTCCTTCGAATCATTCTTATTAGATACTAACATTAGATTTTCTTTTTTAATTATTTATGTCTTTTTTAATATGAAATCTAAGTTTACTGATTTTTAAAAGTGATTTTTCAATTTTAATGTTCATCGTAAATACCGCACATCTCTCCCGAACTTTGTAAACACAATCGCTTGGCACAATTTCTTTTATTTTCGAATTTTCCGTAGGTATTCACAAATTTTTAGGGTGAATATTTTTAACTTTCCTAATAAAACATATACATATGTAAAAAAAAATTAAATGATATCCTTTCTTTTATTTTTTAATTGAAAAAATTTATAAAACAATAAAATATATAAAAAAACATTAAAAGGTAAAATTCGTATTGTGAAAAATCGATAATAAACAATATTATTTCCTTTTGTCTTTCATACGCTCACTCAACTTCGGTATTTCCTTACTCATCACTTCTTTCATTTACATAATATTTTCTCTTTTGTTTCAATTTTTTCCACATTTTTCAAAGAAAATAATTTTTATTTTCCCATTGAACAATGAAAATGTATATTTTTTTAAGTTTACTCATATTTAATATACAATCAATCAATCAAACAAACATACAAGTTGAAAATGATATCGTAAGTTTTTATATGTGTTTGAGGTTATCAAGATAATTTGATATTAACTGTTTTTGGTGGTTAAAAAATTTTATTTCAACATGTAAACAAATTTTTTTAATAACTGTTGATTGTTGGTTGCGCGTATTTGAATAAAAATTTTTAAATGTTAATGATATTTCTTTCATATATAGTTTGGCAATTTCAAATTTTAAGATCATGTTTATTAGTTCTATTTGATTTCTTTTTTTTTATTTTACAAATTCATGAATGTAATTTTAGGTTTTTTCAAAATCATTTATTTATCACTTTTTTCACTTTTTACATTTATTTTTAGATAAATGCCATGTAATTTTTTTATTGTGAATTCTTATTAATTTTAACTATAGAAACTTGCTTGCAAAAATTTTTATCTTATACATTTTGTGTTTTTTTATTTCTTTAGAATAATTGATTTTATTTACTTAATTCAGCAAAAAAAAAAACAATGATTTTTTTATCTTTTTTCTCCTTTTTTATAACATTTTTAATTCTTTTAAAAAATTAATGAAAAACATAACAAACGAAATTGTAAACTATTTTTTAAAATTTTGTTACATATTATATACAAATCGTATGTAAATATGTATATTGTAGATATTATATACATCTGCACATATAAAAAAAGTTATATCAAAATATATTATTAATAACTACACTACAAACATAAGTATTATAGTTATATTATGATAAGGTCATACATTTGACGTATATAAAACAAATGTAATTTATACCTATACACACTTATTTAATATTGTATTTACAGTTATATATTATAGTAATATAATCTTTATCTGAATTTTTTTTTATTTATTTTTCTCTTTTTCTCTAATATTATTTCCTTTAAAATAGCCTTACAAAGTAAAAAACTGTTACATAAAACTTTGAAGAAAAAACAAAAATAGTAAATATTTATATCAAAGTTGTACCATACATATGTACGTATCTACTCGAATATTTGTGTACAGTGAATAAAAACGAAAAAGGATATATTAATAATAATAATAGTAATAATAATAATAACAATAATAATAATTAGAATAATAATAATAATATATTGAATGGAATGAGTGATGGTATAGTGAGGACAAGGACGATACGTCAGAATACAGTTGTATGACAAAAGTTATCTTATTATATGTATATATACAAATAACGTATAAATGTAAGTATGTATATAATGTTATGATTTATACATGCATTTATACTTGTATAATATTTTTATTACATACGTTGCTGAATAAGTTAATGTTATATAAGTAATTGATATTATTATTTTTAAAAATTAGAACAAATTTGATAGTATGTATATAAATATTTTTATTTACTTATTTATCTATTGTTTATTTTTTTGTATTTGTGTCCTTTTACTTTTAAAAGATTATTAAATTGAATTCTGTATAGAAAATAATAAAATTTGTTTTTGTTTTTTTTTTTTATTTTGATGAAATAAACGTAGATATAATGGTTATATTAATAGAATTCAGGCATTGTAAAGGTATTAATTCACGCATATTAAATTTATTTTTATATGTATGTATATATAATGATAGTCTTATTTATTTGTGTAACACATTTAACCTTAACGATATAAAAAAACTTTGTATATAATTTTTTTTTCCTTTTTATTCTTGATAATTTTATTTTATTTTGATATAAGTATTTTAACACGCTTATATTGAAATATTTTATATGCATATGTATTATGAAAAAACAAAATATTGTTTATATCCAGGTAAGTACACCTACATATATGTATGGAGATGAATTATATGTAAGTAGGATCGTTGTATTTTATTTGCTTATATGTTTTGTCGAGATATTTTTAAATTAATTTTTTCTTTATGCTTTAAATGTTCTTGCTATATTTTAACTGGTACACATTTAGTTTTTATTTATTTATTTATTTGTTCAATTTCAATTTCTCAAAAAGTAGGATAAATATAATATAATAATATAAATAAAGTGTTATGTATTTATGTTCTATATATTTATTTAGAAGTGCTCCCTGTTTGTTCCTTTTTCTTTTTATATATTTTTTGTATATTTATATGTACATGTATTTATTCGTAATATAAGTTAAAAATACCAAAAAAGACAAATTTAACTTGTTACACTTTTCTTCAGGAAAATTTAATTCGGAGTTTGAATTTTATTTTTATTAATTTTTTTTTATTTATATAAAAATAAATTTCTGGGCTAATGAAAATTGTGTTGAAAAAATATTTAGTGACTAAAATTTTCTTATAACAATACTTATAAATATGTACATAATTTTTCACTTTTTTTCCTTCTTTTACTTTATTCTAATAAAAAGTTATATATAATTCTTTTTTTAATTGAAATTAAGCAATTTTATAAGTACAACATATATTACTGTAATATTATGTACATATATTCAAGTATAAAAGCAGGCTTCATATACCTCTATGTACCTACTATGTGCTTGAAGTCATAAGAAGCTGAAAAGAAAAAAAATTAAAAAATTTTATTAAATTATGAAAATTTATATTTACATATTTGAAATATAATTAAAATTCGTAAAGATTAAATAAACAGGGATTTATATAAATCTACATAGCCTTGTTTTTCCAAATGATATAAAATATAATAACGATTATCCCGAACATTATGCGAATTAAAATTCTTTAGCAATGTTTTTACGATCAGAATACTGATTTTATAATATTGGTAGCGCAAAAAACCTGATATTTGCAAATAAATTTTTTTTTAGAAACAAATGGTGATCTATGTACATATGTATGATATAAAATGAGAACTATAATCCAGATAACATTTCATGTTTTTTATTTATAAAGTAAAATTTTCATTCATTGTGTAAGTTCTATATTTGCGCCTTGTTTGCAATTTCGATATAACGGTAGGTATAAATTTGTAGCAAAAAATTAAAAGCATAGATATTTAAAGCTAAATCACTTACCTAAACATTACATATTCAGAACATAAATTTTGTATATTGGTCCATATATTGCATAAACTGTTTTCAATAATAATTTAAATATAAACTGTATCAAAGTAAGGAAACTAAAGTTTAATTTATAATTTTGAACCCACAAAGCTTAGATGCATTATACGAGTATTAATTTTTTTCAAATATTGTTCTTACTTATTTATCACTAAATTTTTATATAAATGATGTTCCAAAAATTTTTGATATGTTTGAATGGCTATAATTAATAAAGTGAAGACAAATAATTTTTCAATATTTCATATTAAAATTGCAATTAATTAAATAAATATATATTATTATTTCAAAATAAAAGAGAATTTTAATTTAACATGCTTTCTTTATTATAATTATTGTTCATACCATATTGTGTATATATTATAACAAAATAGACTTTAATTAACATTTGCATTAAGTAAAAACAATCTGGCAAAATTTATAGGTCAATGGTGGTAGTAGAAGCTTAGACTTTATAAGTAAATTTTACAAGATTCTATTTTGTAGTTCATAGATAAAGTTTGATTTAAGATATAAATTGTGTACATTATCGTATAATAGAAAATGTGTATTTACATTATATTTATATTTAGATACTTAGGTATATGCACAGAGCGCTTCAGACTTTCAAATTTTTCATAATAATTTAATAACAAATTATTCGAACATATAACGTAAAGCTATACCTACAGCACGTTTTGTATAAAAATTTTACATTATAAACGCTTGAACTTAAATAGCTAAAAAAGTATGCGAGTAGGTACGTATCTTCGGGTACGTGTATATTTCCATTTGTTTTTCTCATATATGTAGATATGTAAGTATACTTAGTATTGGATTTTATATGCCTATATATTTAAATAAAAGAAAATTTTATTTTTAACGAGAGAAAAATTATTCAATTTTCATATACATATATGTGTATACATATGTAAGTACACACACACATGCAAATATTCATATTATGAAATATGTTGTTGGTGTTTTACTTTTTTCAGTATAATGATACTAATCCTGGAACATTCTAATTGTATATCGCATGCAAACATGGGTATCCAAACCATGCAAACATGGACATTCTTTATAAATTACATTAGATATGCAAAAAAACCTATTCAAATTGAACAAAATGACAACGATTTGTGCAATTGCATGGAAATCTCAATAGAACTACTTTCATCTCTCTCATACCAACGTACCATAATAGCTAGAAGTATTGCAACATAAAATTTGTTTTTGTTGCGTTGTAGTTTATGGAAACTTTTTTATAACAGATATCGTACACAAACGCAATATTGTAGTGTAGTGAAGAGGAATCCCTTGTTTTGTTTTTAAAATTTTGTATGTAGGTATGTATTTCTTTGTTGCAAATATTATTGTACTTCGTGTCGAATATTTCAAACAGCCTTTTGACAAATTTTGTTTATGACTTTTAATAAAAATTATAAAAAAGTTATTGGAACGTAAACTAAAATTACAATTTAATCTAACCAAAATACAAATTTTAATATTTTTTAACATATAACACTAAATATAACATTTAAATTTTAGTATGTTTAAAATAACAATTATTCGAAAAAGTTCAATAATTAAAATAAAATTTAACTATGTTCATGAATATTACCAATATTTGGATAGATAAATTTTTGATCTAAACGGTTATTAAACGCACTTCAGAAAATATTTTTCATAAACACTTTTATTACGTATATTTAAACTAATAGCAATACATTTTTTAACTTAATTAATTGCTAAAGTGTAATATATATTTGAATTAAGAACATCACTCAATATATTTGTATTTATCATCATTTTTCAAACCTTTATGCGACAAAAATGTTACGATGTGTAAACTCCACGACGTTCGTTCGTTTATTAAATGAGAAATTAGATAAACTAAAATTTCGAAAGAGACGAATGGAAGCCAAAATTAAAGTGTATCTCAATCAAAGTATATCTACTAATAAGTAATTCGACTCGTTCCATTCCGTTAGTTTTCATTTGCATCTTGCTTCCAAATTCTTAAAATATTCCATTTTTTTTTAGAAATAGATGGTAATAAAAGTTTTGTAGGCAAGAAAGAAACAAAATATTGTAAACAAACGAGTGTATCAAAAACATTGAACTAAAATAAAATTAAGTCAGGTAAAAATTTTGTTATTTCTATTTTGATAATAACAAAATTTATTTTTCATTTTATAAAATTTAGGTAAAACATTCGAATGTATGAAATCAAAAGAGTTTGAAATTTCATGTATGAAAGTACACATGCATGCACCTGATACAGTAGATTCACAGTATCAGGTAGTGACATAGAAGTAAAGTAATTTATAAAGAAAAAAAGGTGTATGCATACTGATCACTTTATGAAATATAATCATTGCCGATTCATAGGAAATATGTTTTAAATTTATTAAGATTGAAAAAATAATTTACTTATTTTATTTATTAATAATAATTAATAATTATTAATTACAAATGCTTAACACTAAAAATTTAAAATATTTTCAAAAGTACATATTTACCTCTTCACATCTTTTGGCAACAAATGAAATTTTTGTGTCGGCTTTTTTTCATCCCAAACACTTCAAATAATGTTTACCCATTATTATAAAAAAATTTTTTTTTTCACAACTACTTAAAATTTTTTTTTAATATTATACGTCTTTTTAAAATTTATTTTTATTATTTTTCATATAAATTATAATAATTTTTTTAAACACTTTTTTTCCGCTTCGCTTTTATAATATGAATACACATTTTTTGCCACCTTGTACTGGAATGAATTACAGAAATTATTGTGTCGCTTTTAAAATTCTTTATATTTTTCCCTATACTTTATATAGGAACAAATAATAAAGTGTCGCCTTTCAAAATTACATTATAAAAAAAACAGGTTGACATCTATTGCGTACTCCCTCTCCCGAAAATTCTTATGTGTATAAAAATGAAAATAAGAAGGAATACTGCTTAACTCTTTTAACTAAGGGAATTTTTTGTATACAAATATTGGTGATTGATTGCATTAGTGTGATGTAAACGGAGAGTCGAACTACTTGTTAGTAGATATACTTAGATCTCAATTTCAAACCAAAGTATATCTACTCAAGAAGTAGTTCGACTCGTTCCACTCCGTTAATTTTCTTTTGCTTGCCACTTCCAAATTCTCAAAATATTCCATTTTTAAATAAAAATAGATGGTAATAAGAGTTGTGTAGGCAAGAAAGAAACAAAATATTGTAAACAAATGAGTGTATCAAAAACATCGAACTAAAATAAAATTAAATTAAGTTAGTTAACCATTTTATATTTATTTTGATAACAACAAAATTTATTTTTCATAATACTGAAAAATGAAAAAGCAATAAATACGAGTTTAAAACTTCAGTATCAGGTAGTGATTTAGATATAAAGCAATTTATGAAGAAAAAATGGTAATGCATACTGCTTCACACTTTATGAAATATTATTATTTCCGATATGTGCGTATATTCTTTAGATAAGGGAATTATTTGCATATAAATATTGGTGAGTGATCGCATTAGTGTGATGTCAACGAACGACTTTTTGGAGAGATATACTTTGATTTATTTTTTTTATTCCATTTTCTAATTTAATAAGAAAAAAGGGGAAAAAATGAGAGGAGTTGGAAAGAATATAAAAAAAAGAATATAAAGGACTTATTTTTTAAAAAGGTCATGAGTGTTGCATTGTTCTTTGTATGCAAGTAGCAATATTTTTGAAAGAGGTCGTTAGTCTTGGAAGGTGCGCATTAGTGTCGTGAGAGTTGTTTTTCCAATGGAAATAGTACATTTTGCTCTTAATAAGTAGCAAACAAAGTATATCAATAAGAAATTCGATTCGTTCCATTCCGTTAGTTTTCGTTTGCATCTTGCTTCCAAATTCTTAAAATATTCCATTTTTTTTTTAGAAATAGATGGTAATAAAAGTTGTGTAGGCAAGAAAGAAACAAAATATTGTAAACAATCGAGTGTATGAAAAACATTGAACTAAAATAGAATTAAATTAAGTTAGGTAAAAATTTTGTTATTTTTATTTTGATAATAACAAAATTTATTTTTCATTTTATAAAATTTAAGTAAAAATTTAAGCAAAAGAGTTTGAAATTTCATGTATGAATGTACACATGCATGTACCTGGTACAGTAGATACACACTGCACAGTATCAGGTAGTGACATAGAAATAAAGTAATTTATAAAGAAAAAAAGGTGTATGCATACTGATTACTTTATGAAATATAATTATTACCGATTCATGGGAAATATGTTCTAAAGTTATTAAGATTGAAATAAAAATAAGAAATTTAAAGATAATTTATTTGTTTATTTATTAATAATTATCAATTACAAATGCTTAACACTAAAAATTTTTTGTTTTATATCAAATTGTTTTATAGTTTTATTAAAACTTTTTATTATATGGTAAATTCTAATTCTAATATACAGTTTAATGAAACATGTTTTGTCGGACTTCTCACAACATTCATAGTTGAAATTATTTTTTACGTGTTCATATATTTTACATTCTAAATTTTTTTCTGTACAAATATCATTTAAAAGTTTAATAAAAGTATTTTCTAAATTCTTTAAATTATCCATGAAATTCTTGGATAGTTTATATAAAACTGAATTATCATATTCTTTAAAATTTATAAACTGCATATTAATATTGTAGTCAGTATGAAAATTCATTGGCAAAGTACATTTGCGATACTCTCGGTGCTTCTTTAACAAATAGCCCCCAAAAAAATGAAATGCATTTTCTTCACCGAAGTCCATGTGCTGGTAATCTATTTCAACATTAAATTTGTAATTGTTTTTATAAGTCACTGGTAGTTGTATATTTGTAGTATTTATATGGGGAACTTCAATATATTCAGTCGGTTCGCAATTCGATAATGTTGTAATATCCTCCATATAATGAACAGAAAATGCTTTTTTGAATGCGGATGAAAATTGAGATGAAGTTAACAGCCTTGTGTTTCCGCCGCGTTTACGCAAGGTACCAAATGCATTTTCTAATACATCTTGTTTTAAATTTCTGGTTAAAATGAATTCAATTTTTTCTTTTTTTAAATCATTGTACAAATCGATTAAAACCTCGATATTTTGCAGCCAACCTTTTAAGAATTTAACTGTTATCATGGCACTTTGTGTGGTTTGATTGAGTTCCAAATTTGAAATGATGATTTTAGTGCTTTTTAAGAATTCCAACCGCTCCTTAGATCCAAAAAAGGTCTTCGAAATATTTTTGGTTCATTAAATTTTGATGAATTAAATAAATCAAACAGTTTATCAAATATTTCAATTATTTTTGCGGTATTAATTGCAGTTGAAGTAATTGCATTATTGCTGGCTAGTGTATATAAACCACTTGGAACTGTTGTACTTATTACTTGTGCGGCATATTTTACTCTCATTTTTTGAAATGTATTTGGATATACATATATGCTCACGACTTAATTTAGGAGCTAATTTGAAATTGTTGTTTACAGTCATTTTCATATAAAATTTTTATATCACGCTAGCCATTTTGTTGTTCTCAAATTTTATATCGTACTTCATAAAATTTTTCCACAAAGATTTTAATAAGTGTGGAGTATCGTACATGTAATATATTTTATTTCCATGTACCAAAAAATATGGAGCGCATGTTGATATGCCTAGTACTTTATTAAGTGCGACAAAATTTGCTCCCTGGTCAGATATAACCAATTTAGACTTCATTCCAATTCTTAATAATTCTTTTATACATACAAAAATAATACTTTTTAAATGTTTGGCTGTGCATAGTTTATTGGTAAAGTCATATCCAACGAAGTGGCTATATCTATGCGTGATACCTCTTACCATTGCAACAACAGCATATTGTGGTAGAAACTTATTTTTTGCTCGCCATTATCTTCTAAATCAATGATTTGTCCGCTTATTTTTTGCTCGCCATTATCTTCTAAATCAATGATTTGTCCGCTTAATCTGTCGTATTGTAGGTATGTTTTCAGAGATATTTCATCTAAACAAATCACGCAATTTTTTAGCCATTTCATGTAAACATTGGATTTTAAGATTCAGTGCGTTAAAAAGTGATGCATGCATGCCTGGTTCAGAAGGCCAATGTTTGATATATTTGCGCAATGTTGAACCGGTAAATTCATTTGTTTTGAAAGAAATCTATATGCAATTGGAGATATAAAATGTATAGTCAAACAGAGTTTTTTTAAATCAGCGGAGTGTCTCCATCCTTTCCTTTTTTTAATGTGTTCCTAATATGGCTTTTTACTACACAGGCTAGACCTTCTGGTAAAATATTGCGAAGTTTTTTTTACATAAAATTAATCACTATTTTTCTTGATTTCTTTAAATTTTTTAATTTTCTTTTTTAAATTCTCATTTTCCTGTTCTAATTGCTGAAGTTTTGCATATAGATTCTGATCAGTAAAATTTACTTGGCAACTTTGATTTGTCCTTAATGGTGATAGAACAAAAAAATATTCGCCGGGAATAATTTCATTATCTGTGAAAAAATAAAAATATATTAGTTTATCTTATATTATATAATTTAAAGTAATTATGATTAAAATTTTTAAACGTACCTTTTGTTCTTTCCGTTAAAATATTCGATGTATGTATCTTTTTGAGTATAGTTTTGTGTACCTGTAAAATATGTTTTACGTTAAACTTCGTTTGCATCATAATTGCTTTGAAAAATTTAGCTATTATTTGGTTTTTATATCTCGAAAATATTATATTTAAAAATTTTACCTGTGAAATTCTCTGATGAAAGGCACGAAACTTCTTCAAACAAATTTTCAGTGTCTTCAGTATTTAAATTTTAAGCTGGGTCTGCAATTTATAACATAAATATTATAATGAACTTAATGCTTTGTAAGTATTTTTACTTAAGCATAGCACCTGTTACACCAATCAAGATGTTGTCGTTAATTTTATCTTTAAATAAAGTATTTTCTTTTACCACTTCGATAGCAATTGAATCTTTTAATATCCTCCCAGTTTTACCCAATGTTTTCCTTGTAAAATGTATTCCACATACACGATAGTCACGTGAAAGACTTTTGCCAATTAAATCGCATCTGTTTAATTTTCTCAACCAGATTTCTTTTCCAAAAAGAGAATTCCAAGATACTGTAAGCATACACAAAATTTGAATTGGTGCATGTAAATTACAAATTGAAAATACTGTCGTTTAAAAGAACAAACCTCTCCACATCTCTTGGCAACAAATGAAATTTTCATGTCGGCTTTTTTGCCTCACACACAATATTACATCCCAAACACTTCAAATAATGTTTACCCAATATTATAAAAAATTTTTTTTTTCACAACTTCTTAAAATTTTTTTTAATATTATACGTCTTTTTAAAATTTATTTTTATTATTTTTCATATAAATTATAATAATTTTTTTTAAACACTTTTTTTCCGCTTCGCTTTTATAATATGAATATACCTTTTTTGCCAAATTGTACTGGAATAAGTTACAAAAATAAAACTCCCGCTTTCAAAATTCTTAATATTTTTTCCTATACTTTATATAGGGAAAAATAAATGAAATTTCAAACTCTTTTGACTTCATACATTCGAATTTTTTACCTAAATTTTGTAAAATGAAAAATAAATTTTGTTATTATCAAAATAAAAATAACAAAATTTTTACTTAACTTAATTTTATTTTAGTTCAATGTTTTTGATACACTCGATTGTTTACAATATTTTGTTTCTTTCTGGCCTACACAACTTTATCTATTTCTAAAAAAAAAATGGAATATTTTAAGAATTTGGAAGCAAGATCCAAATGAAAACTAACGGAATGGAACGAGTCGAATTATTTATTAGTAGATATACTTTGGTTGCAACTTTCAATAATATTAAGAAGCACTTATCTACCTAAACTAATTTTAAAATATCTAATAACTTATTGCTAACTGTATTAAGGCTGTTTAACATAGTATTTTTATTTGTTAGTCTATTCGGTTGGGCTGACGGTCACTTGACACCCGCAAAAATATGATTCAGCCGTTTTATTTTAATTGCCTGAATATTTTTGCGGGATGTGACTGTTGGCGTTGACCGTCAACCAAAAGTTCGTCTACAATTTGACTCAAAACAAAAGGCAATCATTTATTAAAATTCTGTAATAAAATGAAATATTTTTAACTATGAATTTGTTAATTTTTATTAAACATTTAAAAAAATTTAAGTTTATTTCAACATTTTTCTTAAGGATAATACGTTTTGGCCCATCTCTTTCTACTTTTATAGCCATCGGGTCTTAAATCTCTAGGAATATATACCGGCTTATGATGATCTAATTGTCTCTTAAATGGATTGACTCCTAGCTCAAAGAATCTCCTTTTGGATTCCAAAGGCCTAGTTTTATGATCAATTTTGTATATCTTTTCCCACATGTAAATTTCAGGAACAAGGCGATTTCTTGGTCTATTAGACATTAAGTGTTTATATATCTTTTCTAAAAACTCTCTGCGTTCTTCCTCTTTAATGTCGCTAATTCTTTGAATTTTTTTACTTTGTTTGATTGTAGGTTGATTCGCATATAACTTGATTAAAGTTTTTAAAACTTCTTCATTAAAACCAATACATTTACCGTTTTCATCAAGATGCTCATACAATTTCATTTCTTTTGTTCCCCAGCACCTATTAATTTTTTCATTGTTAATAAAATTATCATGTCGTGGTAAAGTCGTATTTAATTGATAACCATAAAACGACCATAATTGGCCATTCGTTACTACGGTTTGTGTTACAAATGGGAAAGTAACATCCTCAAAATTAGAAAACCCTTGATAACAAGCTTGCGCGAAAAGCCATGCAAAACTTGATTGAATACCTTTTATGTGCATAGCTTCTCGCAAAATTTCTGCTGTTAAAGGTATTAATTTATTAATTTCGATTGAGTTATTTCGATGTTGATAATTTAAAAATCCAAATTCATTTACATTTCCTGGCCAATATCCTGGTATAATCGTGCCGTGTCTATATTCAATAGAGTAGCCGAGAGTTCTGGGATCATATTCGTATATTGGTATCAGTGAATCAATGTTCGCATTATTTATGTTTGAAACTTCGGTAAATGGTTTTAATGACAAACTATGGCGAAGAGAAAGGAAAGGTTTTCCCGTGTATTGTATTGCTCTAAATGTTGGCTGGTTTGCTTTTAATTTGGTGTACTCCCGACCTTCTAATGATTTCCGTATATTTTTGGTCGGTTGAATACCACCGGTCCACCAAAAAGCCTCATGTCGTGGTCGAATATCAATTTCTAATTCCGATAAATGTTGAAAATTTTTCGACAAATGCTTCAAAAGGCACTGATTTATTTGCTGCACTGTTACTTCATCTAGCGTTTGTTTAGAACTTTTTTTTTTACTTTGAAATTTGAAATATTCATTTGAAAATTCAATAGAATCCACTATTTCAGAAGTAATCTGTTTACATACATCATCGACCACAAATTGATTATAAAACTCCGGTAGATTATCAACCTCTTCGAAACTTGTATTTGTGTAGTGTTTCACCATATTTAATGCGTTATAAGGTGTCCTTGAATCTTCCAATTTAACAGTGGCATAACCATAATATTTTGGCATGTTGATTTTTATTATTTTTTCTTCAACTGTTTGAATATTTCTAAGAATATCTTTCCAAGTTTTCTTTCTATTTTTTTCATTACTTTCTTTGATAACTTCATCCAGGAGGCATGAAGACGGCAGCTCAACTTGTTTTGGTGGCGAGTTTTTAGCGGAAAAAATTTCATCCTGATTGGTTTTTAACTCTAAAGTGCCATAAAACTTTCTTGACAAATTGGTTACATTGCAGTATCTTATTCGACTCAGCATAATTTCCTTTCTTAATTTAAAGAAAACTTAATAAAAGGTTAAAAAAAAATAATTTTAATTGGGAAAGTGAAACTCATAACCTCCCAAAATTTAAAAAAAAAAATCTACTCCTGTTTAGTGTTTAGTAAATGGTTTTGTCACTTTCGTATTTTTTAAACAGCTGATAATGTACTTGCGAGCAGCTGATAAACTTCAAGCGAATTCAGCACAGTGATGCCGTTTCATCAAATTTATCTTTGAATTTGACCGTAAATATACATATATGCATATATTAAGAAGCTTAGATTTTTAATTTTATATTGTGAACTGCTAGCTGTCACAATCAGTATCATTTCATTCAAATATATAAATATTTATTTTATGCATCAAACATATATTATTTTTTAATATTGCATACAAATTATACATATAGATCCTTTAACAGTAAATCCTAAAGAATTAAAATACGTGGATGCTGACGTAAATATGTATTAAAATTTTGTAGAAAATGCAAACATTATAATAAAAATAAAGTCCAAAGTTCAATAAATTTTGAGAATTAGATTTATGAAAAAAACTATACCTACCTCTTTTGCTACTATTTGGTAAAGATTTAGATAGGAAGAATTACAGTGATGCTTTCTAAATCAACTTTAACTAGAGGTAAATTGCTTACATACTTATATGATATCAATTCACTTATGTAACTGAAATTAATTTTGAACAATATTGCCGGCCTCAGTCAAGATCATATTAAAGTAAATGTTAAAACATTATTTTTAGCTTGGCGGTTATGGAGCTGTGCGGCAAAAAGAAATTATGCGAACCATCCAAAAATTACTACTCATTATACAATTTTTCCTAGAGACAAGGATGAAAGATGGAAAGGTTTTTTTTGATATAATACGGATGTATCGTAAATATGTTGAATTTTTTTGAATATAAATTGTAGACATTGACATGGAACGATATGCAGATGAAGTTGATATAGTTATTGTCGGAGGTGGCCCTGCTGGATTATCTGCTGCCATTAGAGCAAAACAAATTGCTTCCGAAAAGGGAAAAGTATGTTAAATAGTTTTGCTCTTTTAGTATGTAAATGTATCTAGTATATTATGGTATTTGTATATATTTTGTTCGGTAAGTTTTGTCTTAGGTATTGCGGACATGAGGTTCGAGTTCATAACTTTTATATGTAAGTGCTTGATTTCTTGCGTGCTTCTGTGCCTGTGAAGAATAGAGTTCACATGTCTTGGCTCATTTGACGCACTACCGATTCGCGGGGACTTGAGAACTCTAAGAATTCTACTTGACGTATACTAGAAATTTTTTTAACTTGGCCAAGTTTTCGATGCTTACCTTTTTTTACTTCAGTTTTTGGGTAGAAATTCCAGCAATCTTCTTGTACTTTTTAATCTCTACTTTTCAAGTGGTAAAAACTTGGCAAACATTTGGAGACAAATGTCTCCTGCTTTATTCTCCTTTGATATCTAGAGCTGATGGGTCTAGTGGAATAGTATTTTAAGGTGTGTTGGTAGCCTTGTGGGTCGTCTTATTTTTTAATTTAGCCTATCATTACAATCTGAAGAGTTTTCTTCAGCTTGAAAGGGATCTCCTATTGTGAATGTTCTTAAGAAAGTTATGCCTTTTATTTTTAAGATGTCTGGTATTTTTAAGGTATTTGAGGGTTTTTCGGGTGGACACTTGCAGGTCTCTTGTATTCATTTAGTCATTCTTTGTACATAGTTTCACAGAAGTGGATCTAGTGTTACGTAATGAATGGGGTTAGTCTTAAATGTCATTGACATTGTAGAAGGGATTTATCAGGCCAGGGTTTTAATAATGTTAGCAAGGCTTTCGATACTATGCCTCAACGAATTATTCTATCAGAATTGTAGGTTGATTTCTTTTCTGTAGATTGTCATAATATGAGACTAGGTTGCTACAGATCGACTTGAAGTTCTTGCAGGTGATTAGGGCAACTAAAGATATAGTGTTCATTCAGCACCTTGTGTCGAAGTTTATCACGCCTCCTTCGTTAGGAACAGTTTCTCTTACAAGAAATCTCAAATCAGGTATAATGTAAGAAATCTTAGACCAGTTTTGTTGTTTAAAGTTCGTTATCAGGCCAATATCTAAGTTTAGCAACAGTTGCCTGGTATATTATAATATGCTGCCTCGATATTCGTGCATATTTATAATATTTAAAAAAAGGGTTGATGTGACATTAAAATGAACGATGTGAAATCAAATTTTTGTTTCTTAGACATGTGAATTGTGATTCAGATATTTAGCATTCAAAAACAGTCATAAACCGCTTCGACATCGCTGGAAGGCGAATTTTATGTAAATTAAAACTTGTTTCACCAAATTAAAATGTTTCCAATTATTTTTTCATCGTCCGGTCTCAATCTATCAGATTGCTTTCGAGGTACCGTAGACTTTAGCACGCTATGTACATATGTATGTCACAAAAGAATTGCAATTTGTTCTCTATTTCTTTGCTTCTTAATTTACTTACACTGATATGAGGGTGTAGATTTCTTGCTAATCTAAATTCCTTAGAAATACATATATTATTTTTTTTAATTGTATAAATATCCTAAGTAACTTTCTCGTACTTCAATATTTGGGTATAATTATGTTTTGTATGTATGTATTTTGAAAAGTTTTACTTTCTAATACAAATTTTTTTATTGCTTTATTTATTTCCCAAAAGTATTAAAATTATAATTCTAAATAAAAGATAAGAATTAATGTATGTATATTATCGTAAATATTTTCAACAATTAAGGTCTATTTCTCAGGAAATTCGAGTATGCGTGATTGAAAAAGCTTCTGAAGTTGGGGGTCACATATTATCCGGTGCAGTTATTGATCCTCGTTCTATTAACGAGTTAATACCGGACTGGAAAGAAAAAGGTGCTCCTATTAACACCCCCGTTAAAAAAGATCAATTTCAATTTCTAACTACCAACAGCGCGATATCATTACCAATTTTCAAAGGATGGCCTATGGATAATCACGGAAATTATATAGTTCGTCTTGGTCATTTAGTAAAATGGCTGGGAGAACAAGCTGAAGAATTAGGCGTTGAGTTGTATCCAGGAACAGCCGCTTCAGAAATAATATTTCATGAGGACGGAAGTGTTAAAGGCATTGCAACAGCGGATGTGGGAATTGGGAAAGATGGTTCTCCAAAAGACACTTTTGCACGAGGAATGGAATTCCATGCAAAAAACACAATATTTGCTGAAGGTTGTCGAGGACATTTAACAAAACAAATTATGTCAAAATTTGGTTTACATAAGAGTTCTGAACCCCAAACTTATGGAATTGGATTAAAGGAACTTTGGGAAATTAATCCAGAGAAGCATGTGTAAGTTTAAAGATAATTGGCGATATACGGACATTTAGAAATTTTAAAAGTATTTCATTTAAGACCTGGATTAGTAAAACATACTATTGGATGGCCTTTGGATAAATTTACGTATGGAGGCTCATTTTTGTACCATTTAAACGAACCTACACCATTAGTAGCTGTAGGTTTTGTAGTTGGACTTGACTATTCAAATCCTTGGATTAGTCCTTATAGGGAATTTCAGAAATATAAAACACATCCGAAAATTAAAGAGATTTTCGAAGGTGGCACTAGAATAGCATATGGAGCGAGAGCAATCAATGAGGGTGGTTTCCAATGCATACCCAAATTGACGTTCCCAGGAGGGTGTCTTGTAGGTTGCAGCGCAGGTTTTCTTAATGTTCCAAAAATTAAAGGGTCTCATTATGCTATGAAAAGCGGTAATATAACAAATAATAATTGTTTAGAATTGTTTTTTGATAAAACCTTTAATAGGAATGTTGGCTGCGGAAAGTATTTTAGAGAGCATATGGAATGAAAGAACGCAAGAAAAAGCTGGAATTGAACCAAAATCCTATCCTGATAAAGTAAAGGAATCTTTCATTTGGAAAGATTTACATAAAATACGCAATGTTCGCCCGGCATTCCATAATCCTTTTGGTTTATATGGGGGTTTGATGCTAAGTGGGATATCAATGTTTCTTGGAGGCCGCGAACCCTGGACTTATTCTCATGGAAAACCAGACAATGAGCGTCTTAAACCCGCTAGTGAATTCAAAAAAATCGAATATCCAAAACCAGATGGGAAACTTACGTTTGATTTATTAACTTCAGTTTCGTTAACGGGTACTAATCATGAAGCTGATCAGCCTGCTCATTTAACGTTAAAAGATGACAGCGTCCCCGTCGATCTAAATTACTCAATATATGAGGGACCAGAATCTAGATATTGTCCAGCCGGAGTATATGAATTTGTTCCAAATGAGGATGGCAATGGTGTTAAATTAAATATAAATGCCCAAAATTGTATTCATTGCAAAACTTGCGATATAAAGGATCCATCGCAAAATATTAATTGGGTTGTTCCTGAGAGCGGCGGAGGTCCTGCATACAATGGAATGTAGGATCTAATAACTATAAATAGGCCAAGTTTTATTGATTTGTTCTTGCATTTTTTGTATTTTTTACTCAAAAAATATTTTATACCTACGTAATGTTGAAAAAATAGTATGGTATTTTTGTATGTTTTACATTTTTTTTATTTAGAAATATCCTAAATTTAAACTCACTCTCTAACTGTTTTCATATCATTCTGGGTGATATTATATTCCTTCGAAATGATTACTCGAGTTGCCGAACCTCAAATAATTATATCAGTTATTTTCCTCTTAGCAAATTTTACGAAAGATTAAAGGAAAAAAAATCTGATGTGATCTGCACATAACCGACCGCAATGTGTATTGTCTAGTTAAGTGAAAGTGTTACAGAATATTATAAAAATGTCTGTTTATTTTTTTACTTTATTTATTTTATTTCAAAATATGCCATTCGAGATTGCTCTTATCTTAGGCTGTTTTTTGTTTTAAATTTTTGTGATTCGATAATATATTACATAATATTAAATACTTCATACTGTTAAATACTTCTTTCCAATTTTTAGGACATTAGTAAGCTTATAGTTAACATACATAGAAAAATGAAAATTTGGCTTTTGGTAGAGTTTCGCTTTGTGCTACCCGAATTCACTGAAATGCTCGCCAGTTAGTTTCGGTAACAACCAGAACTTAAATATCAAATTTTCCAAGAAATTCCATCAACTCGTTTCGTAGATATGGTTAAAAATGTAAAATCGGCCCGCAGACCAGTTTTCGAGCGCTGATCTTTCCAAAAAATTTATATGTTCATTGTTCTAATACGATGAATTTAAATATTAAATTTCAATGAAATTGGTTGGTTATTTCTCTTTATATACGCAAAAATGTATATTTGGCCCGTGGTAAACGTGCAGTTGCTGACGCCTGATTTCTTCCAAAAGTTAGGAGGTTTCGCGGACGGTCGAGCTGAGATTATATATAAAATTTCAAGTAAAACGGTTGAATATTTTCTTCAAAATGCTCAAAAATGTAAAACAGGCCTGCTAAAAAGTGCAGTTCTCGAGGCCTGATATATACCAAAAGTTGATCAATCCGCGCCATGGTGGAAATAAACTTACATCTAAAATTTCATCAAAATCATTTCAGCCGAACTTGAGATACATGCATGCACACACAGACCGACAGACCGATAGGGTGCTAAATTTAGTTTAATAGTTTACTTACACTTTCCTACTATGGAGAAGTGCATTCCCACCGAAAACTCGATATGCAAAATTTGTTGCCATCACATAATCTACCTATTGTTTACACAATACGGTCGATAAAAAGGTAATATTGGGTAAAACGAATTTGTAAGTTATCGTTTAAGCCTCCAGTCAAAAGGTTTGAAAGTTTTTATAACACAAAAAGTGAATGAATGTGTTATCAAGTTATGTATGTACATATATCAATGTTGCGTAATATGTTTTTCATATTATGGCCGAACAAGTCAGAGACGCCGCTGATTTTACTCATATACTGAAAAAGACTTTTCGATTCAATAATTACGCACATAGAATTGCATGCTTATGAGTAATTTGAACACATTGTAAATGAAACAAGCGTTATTTTTTAGATACTACCCGTTTTTTAAAATAAAACTGATAAAATTAAAAAAAAATCTTTTTCTTTTTCAAATATTTGAAGAAAACATAGTACATCATGTATACATGTTTATATACTTATACCTCTAGGCACGGTTGCACAATTTGTAAAGAGCTACATACCTTTTCCGCTAACATTCTTGCTTTCTACTCTTATTTTTATTTAATACATATGACTTAAAACATGTACTTAAATAAATATTTGATCCTCATTATTTTGCAAAATGTAAATAAAACGCAGTCAAAGAGTTATAGACACCAATGTATGTATGTAAGTATGTAGGTACAGCAATCCCTTTATAACGTAACCTCTTACTATATAATTTCGATATATGTAAATTTTATTTTTCCTACCTATTTTCACTTAATGTAATTTTTACCTCGTTTTACGTAATTTTAAAATAATTTAATATGCAATAATCTTGTAATATGTATGTACATACATATGACTAATATGTATGTACATACATATGACTAATATGTATGTACATACATATGACTAATATGTATGTACATACATATTAGTCATATTAGTTTAGTTGGACCTCCTATAATGTAATTTCACTTAACGTAAAAATTTTTCGATCCCAAAAATTACGTTATAGGAGGGATTGCTGTACATACATAATAAAACATCTTCACTGTTAATTTAACAGTTATTTTTAAACGTAAAAGGTTCCTTAACAGGCAAAGTTAACACTTTATTTTGAAATTTTTGTATCATTATTGATATGTAGTACAAAGGACACATATTTTAAAAAAAGTATACAGTAAATAAAAAAAACTCTTATAACATGATTTCACTTTTGCTTGAAAAAAATTACATAAAAAACAACAAAATAAGATGAGAAAAAATAAACAAAAACAGATACTATTCTTTAAATGTAATTATTCTGTAGTTTCATATCTAAATAACATTACTTTCGGGCTTTGGCGTCACTTGTATACAACAAGTAAAGGACCGGATACAAGAGGCTGCCCTGAAGAACTCCCCCTTCCATGTTCATTAGATCCGAATATTCATTTTCTACTTTTATACAAAATACTCTGTTGGTTACGTATGAAGTAAGGAGATCTGCATACTGTTTGGGTAAACACTTGCTGAGTTTATGAATTAGCCCCTCATGCCATACTTTGTCAAAGGCCTGTGAAATGTTGTAGAACAGACCTGTCTTTTTTCAAGAGATTTTTCAATGAGTTCAATAATGCGGTGTGTGTCTGCTTTATCGATGAGTGTTTTTCCCTTAATCCAAATTGATTACTCAGGATAATGTTCGCATAATCGATGATTGGTTTTAATCTTCTTAATAACATTTTTTCAAACAATTTGGAGAGAGTTGATAGAAAGGAAATCCGACGATAGGACTTTACGTTATTGGGCTACTTCACAGGTTTTTGGAGCATTATGATTTTTGCTACTTTCTTTAAGTAATTCCTCAGTTTTCATTATGCGATTTAATTATTTAATTATTGGGCTTAAAGATATTCGCCAAGTGTACTGCAAACGTTACAGCTTTATCCTTGTTGTCTTTAGCCCAAGAACCGTTGCCCTTTTCTGATTGGAGGGATTTGGAAAATCGGTTTCTTCAGGTACTTTGTAGCCCTTCACAGAGAGTATTCATTCCTTTCGTTAGCAGATAAATTTTCTAAATAATTGTTTGTCGAGATTTCTACTATTTCAAGATTTCTCGTTTCAGCTGCAAAAATTAACCCAATTAAATTAAACTTTCTGACATTCTGCTGGCTTTTCATTCCCTTCGTTTTTAAAGCTGAGAATGCTACACTTCATAAAAAAAATTCCAAAAATAATCTCATATAAAAATTTTACTACACTGGGTTATTTTTTATTTCAGTTTAGATAAAAATTCACAGCTGTTAATCAAAAAGTGAAAACATATTTAAAAGGTCTTGTCTTCATATGAGGCCGTTCCGTACCAATGGGTATAGTTAGACAGTTGTTTATATGTCAAAGTCAGGATATTAGCTGTCGTGCTTATAGGTTATTGTTAATCGACATTTTAAAGCAAAATGTTACAATTGCAGAATAATTGTATAAGAAATATATTCAAAGTTTTTCAAATAAATAGACATAATTTTTTACGCTCAACAAATGAAACCACATTAAACCAAGTTTATCAGAATTTTCATAAAATTTGCGTAGCAAATAAACTCAAAATTAATAAATGCAATTTTTGTTCAAAACCAGTGTACGATGTTAATACAAATGTTGTTAAGGATGTTGTAATATTTAAATATGAGAATCCCAAATTTTTCAAAGTGATAAATCTATTCGGACTTTCGCAAGTATGATAATAGGACGAAATATTAAAAATATTTTAGATGTTTTTAATTTAGTTTTTCTTTTGGACTTATCTGTCTCATTTTGCATTTACAACTTTGAGGGATGCTCCTGTTGATGAAACAATTGCAAAAGAAGAAGTGTGGTATAAGAGAATTAATTTGGGGGAAAATAAGTTTCGAAATGCTCTTACAATATTTTCTTTTCTAATTGGTGAAATTTTGAATTAAAATGCAAACATAGTGAACACAGTGTATTTCTGCTCTAGGATATGGTGTATTGACAGCTGCTTGGCTTTTCACTCTACGATCTGTTAGGTTTTTGGTGCTAAAGAAAGGTGGAAAATCGATTAGTTTGGTTACTTATAGTCCGTTCGGCGAAAACAGAATTATGACAGTGCCTCTTAATTGCGTATCTGCAGAAACATCTCGTGAATCAGCCAAAGTTCAACTACCACTCAAAATAAAAAATAGAAAACTTTTTTATATATTAGATATGAGAGGTGAATTCACAAATCCAAGATTATTTGATTATACAGTAGGCTTAAAGAGAAAATTAAACTAATATTTTTTAAGGATATTGAATGTATAATGTATTAATAAAACATTAAAAGTTAATAAATTGGCGCAGGTCTTTGCGTTATTAATAGTCCAAATCTTTTTTTTATAGTTAACCTTTGCCTTGAATATTTATCTTCGGGAGAAAATCTAGCTGGGTGAGCTGATTGAGTAGGTAATCCAGTATCTGTCCGCTTCTGCAAAATTTATTATTTCACGTTTTGATTTATTTGAATAAAAATCAATTTACCTTAAGAGTGTATTGTCTCTCCCCATTTTCGTTTAAATAATACATTAAATACATTTTAAAATTTTGTGCAATAATGATTGTAATTAATTTCAAATTCAGATCTAAAATAATTATTGCAATAATAAACACGCGCTTTGGTTAGAATTTTGACGTTGGCAATTGACAATACTAGTGGCTCATAAAGATAGGAAAAGACAATATTAAAATTTGTAGCTGACTTTTTTTTAACAGGAACAAAGTTCCCATTTTTTGTGCCGATATTTAGCGAAATAAGTCAAAACAGTTTTAGAATTTTGTATCATTATCAAATGCATGCTAAATTTGTCGTTTTTACTTCAAATAATTTCCCTTTATTTTAGGGAGTTTCGAAGCAAAGTAGGTTTAATAGACATGTGCATTGCTATTTTAGTTTTAATAATGAACATGTAATATTTGTCTTTCTGTTTTACATAATTTATGTACATATGTGTTTTAATATTTTCTATTAGGTAAAGTTTTATCTAATTTCTGCTATCAGGTGACAAACTCTTCCTATATACATATAAATCTTGCTAAAATTCATGTACATATTATTAAATTCATATATACATATGTTGCATACAAAGAACATATGTATGTATGTATGTAGTTAAATATTTTGCCTTTGATGTATATCTATTACATGACGTAAGTAAATGTTTTCAAACTTCTAGCTAGGGAACAATACTTGTTAATCTACTCCAGTAACAATCTACTATAGTAACAAAGTTTATTCTGGAACCTTTCTTGAATAAAATTGAAAAAAATATTACACCTATTGTTAACAGCCCACGGCTGACAGAAGTACAGGTCTAGACCATAAGAGAAAGTGACGAAGAGTTCACAGCTGACGAATTTACACGTACTAAGGGATCTATAGAGGATCCTTTTTAACATCAGAAATCTTCCACAAGATCAACTTTTTTCAAATTTTTAGTTAGAAAAAGTTAAAATTCAATCTTTTTTTAATTTGTTAGTACTTACATTCTTAAAGTTTTGTGTTATTAAACCTATTGTGGAACTTTCCAGGTTCCGTTCATTTTTTAAGATTTCAATAAATGTTACACTACAAGAAAAAAAAATCTGATGTGGTCAGCACATAACCGACCGCATTGTATATTGTCTAGTTAAGTGAAAGGGTTACAGAATATTATAAAACTGTCTTTTAAATACTTCTTTCCAATTTTTATTACATTAGTAAGTTTATAGTTAACATACCTAGAAAAATGTAAATTTGGCTCTTAGTAGAGTTTCGCTTTGTGCTACCCGAATTCCTTGAAATGCTCGCCAGTTAACCAGAACTCAAATATTAAATTTCAAGAAATTCCATCAATTCGTTCCGTAGAGATGGTGAGAAATGTAAAATCGGCCCGCAAATCAGTTTTCGAGCCCTGATCTTTCCAAAAAATTTATATGTTCATTATTCTAATACAAGGAATTCAAATATTAAATTTCAATGAAATCGGTCAATTATTTCCCTTTATATACGCAAAAATGTATATTTGGCCCGTAGTAAACGTCAAGTTGCTGATGCCTGATTTCTTCCAAAAGTTAGGAATTTTTGCGGACGGTCGAGAAAAGCTTATATATGAAATTTCAAGTAAATCGGTTCAATACTTTCTTCAAAATGTTCAAAAATGTAAAACAGGCCCGCTAAAAAGTGCAGTTCCCGAGGCCTGATATATCCCAAAAGTTGATCAATCCGTGCCATGGTAGAAATAAACTTACATATAAAATTTCATCAAAATCGGTCCAGCAGAACTTGAGATACACGCGTACACACACAGACCGACAGACCGACAGACCGACAGACCGACGGACCAACAGGTTGCTAAAAATAGTTTACTTACACTTCCCTTCTATGGAGAAGTGCATTCCCACCGAAAACTCGATATGCAAAATTGGTTGCCATCACATAACCTATACCTATTGTTTACACAATACGGTCGGTAAAAAGGTAGGAGGAAAGAAAAAATTAACAAAAAATTCAAATTCATATTTCAGTATGGTTTCAAATGTTAATGAGGAAGTATGTATGATTTTTCATGCTCATTTTGTATTTCCCAATAAGGTAAGTTGAGTAGTGTCGGCTAACAAAAATGTTAATAAAAAAAATATAGGTTGACACATTTCAACAATTTGAATTATCTCATTTTGGTTATTTATACGTTACTTATAAAATTGTTTCAAATAAGAATTCGGGTAGCACAAAACGAAACTGCACTAAGAGCCGAATTTACATTTTTCTAGGTATGTTAACTATAAGCTTACTAATGTCCTAAAAATTGGAAAGAAGTATTAAATAGACATTTTTATAATATTCTGTAACACTTTCACTTAAATAGACAATACACATTGCGGTCGGTTATGTGCTGATCACATCAGATTTCTTTGAAATGAAATAAGTATGGTTTTAAACATAATTATAACATAATAAGGGAATTTTGGTAATTCAGTTTTTACTTATGTATTTATTTATTTACGTTTAGCTCAAACATTTTACAGAAATTGAAATTAAATAACACGTATGTATATAAATTTTTTTAGACTCTATAACAAATAATTATTGACTTAAACATTAATATTAAAAATTATACAACATAAAAATTTATTAGTACTAAAACTCCGTTAAACAAAATAAAAAATAAACAAGTAAAAACGTTTCAGTCGGTATAAACCGATTGAATTATACCCTGCACCTTTCGTTATTGTATAGTAATTACTCGAACCTGTGAAATCATTCTATAGAAACTTCACGGGTATGTCTGACCTATAATTGGACATTCGACTGCCAAGTTTCATGAATCTGACTTTCTTATTTCTCCTAATATTAAGAATAAGCTTAAATAAGAATAAATATTAAGAATAAATATAAAAAATTTGCTGTTGGAGTTGTATCGCAGCCACCCGAACTGGTGCAGTTATCCCATTAAAATTTTTGGAGCATGTGTAGAATATAATTGGACACATGTATACAAAATTTTATATTTAAAGCTTTATTAGTTTTTGAAATATTTAAATTGAACTCTTTGAGTTGTATGGCAGCTACTCGAACCCGTTGTCCAAATTAGTCCAATAACAATAGGACTCGTCCTTGGCACAAAAGAAACAACTTGTGAAAGTTTGGTGTCGATTGCATTATTCGTTTTTGAGTTATCGTGCGATCGGACGGACGGACGGACAGACGGACATGTCTAAATCGACGGAGAATTTTACGCTGAGCAAGAATCCATGTCCATACCGCAGATGACTCCTTCAGGTAGTTACAAACTCCATACCAAAGTTAATATACGAAGTGCAGGGTATAAAAAGAGGCTATACTTAACTATAAGTAAATAAAAGTTTTTTCATCAGTGAAAAGTCAAGTCTGTGTTTTTTGCATAAACTCAGTATTCTACTGACAGGTTCATGTTTACCATTTTTGGTCCTATGAAAAAAAGACCATTACAAGATCAGGGGAACGAGACCCAAAGTTAGAATTAGTAACAATTTTATTTAAAATATCGGGGGAGAATAAATCACTTTTCATAAGCTGAAAAATGAATAACACATCCGCGATATCAGTGCCAGCGATATTTGACCAGCGTTTAATAAAACCCCACATTGAGCTTGATCTGCGTATAATATGGTTGTAGTGGTTTATGAATGATAATTTGTGATAGAAGAAAACAACTAGGTCCCTAATCGAATTAAATCTTTTAAGAGCTTGACTATTTGAAGTATAATTTGTTAAAAAGGATCGTCATTGCCTAGAGTAGCACATTTGTGTACATTTATTTATATTAAGTTTTAGATCATTACTTGAACACCATTTGCAAAAGCGGTTAACATCATTTTGAAGATACATCGAATCATTTACAGTCTATTTTTTTGAAAATTCTAATGTCGTCAGCAGCAGTAGACCTAAGTGGCTACCCTGGAGTACCCCAGAATTAGCCGAAAGAGGTGAAGAAATTTAACGAAAGAGGACTCTGTACGTCCTACCAGAGAGGTATGATTTTACCCTGCCGAGAAGTTATCAGGGAAAAAAGTTTTAATTTCAAAATCATTACGTCATGTGGTAAAATGTCAAAAGATTAACTAAAGTCTGTGTAAATTATGTTCGTCTGATACCCATTTTCCATACTATTAAAGAAAACTGTCGTCGCTTCCACCAAATTCGTCACTGTTGATTTCTTTTTGAGGAAACAATGAACTCAAAAATCTTAGGAATTGCCGACAGTTTAGCAATATGGAGGTAATTTGCCAAGTCATTTTTATTGTTTTTCTTATAAATTGGCCTATTGAAAGGCTTCCTTCCACAACGAAGGAAAAATTCCCGAAAACTAAGACTTATTCATTTATTTTGCTCCCATATTATTATGGCTCCCATCTTGCGCCTTTATTAAGAAATAAAAGGTGCAAAATTATTGCATTGAACTTATCCGTTATTGGCTTAATATCAGTAAAGTTAAACACTGAAGGGGAATCATAATCAGATGGCTAAATCATTAAGCGCTGGAAAATAAATCATTTAGCACTTGATCTAGTCTTTACTTCTAATTTACCAATTAGAGGTAAGTACTATTAATTTCAAATTGCCTCGTTTGATGGTTTGTTATTGAGGATATTTCTTGCAAGTTGTTTAAACGAAAATCATCTATAAAAGAGAACTCCAATTCACTAGAACAAACAACTGCAATAAAAAACAGTTCTTCATCGTAAGTCATCCACTTAATTTTGACGAGATTAAAATCTCCGAAAATAAGAACCTCACCCTTTTTTGATTGATAAGGATTGATAAAATTGCACACATAACACACAATTGCACACATAATCGATTGTCGAAGAAAATTTTGCATATAACTCATTACCTGAGTTTGGCGGTA